AAGATTGGGCCTGATGTATGAAGTAGAAAGGGGTGTAACTTGAACTTTCCAAGCCCAATCCACAAAGGCCCAGGCGTCAAAATATCCCCTTTAAAGAGAAGCCATGAGTCCGAATCCGGCATTAGTTTTTGCTAAAGGTCTCTGGATTTTGCGTTTCGAAACCAAGCTTCCAATCGGGGTTGAGAATGGCATCTCATGAACCAGGCCTCAAAAATTACATGTTTCACGTCCAACCTACTCTATATACGACTACAAACATGTATGTAAACGTAAAATGGACTAATAAATGCAGATTAACAAGATTAGATTTAAATAAAATATACCAAATGGTGCAACATGTATGGCCGACTCAGGCGCGCTTCAGGCTAAGGTGAGGGATGGAAATGACTCCTGGGAACCTCAGGAGTGCCAAGATGGCATGAGATTGGATGGAGGAAGGCTGGAAATCAGGTTTTGAATTTTCACAACCTTTGAACAATTTTGAGAATTTTGAGAGCTTTTTCCAAGTGATGATTTCGTGTCCTTTGCTTATGCTTTTGTTTTTTATTTATAGAGGGGTGGAATAGTGAGTAAACATGGCAAGAATCCACACATAATGGCCCCCTTTCAAAGCAATATCAAACATATTAAAATACTTCCAAAATTATGAAAAACTTTCCCTTCTTGAGATGCAATGAACCTGGTCTTTTTCCCCATGCCTTGCACGAATTCTAAGGCCCAATATCAACCCAAATCATCAACCCATGTGTCCATACTTTTTATTTATTATTTTATGCAATTTATTTTGTGTTTATTTGAATAAAAACAAAATAAATATGAATAAAATAGAGAAAAAATGCAAAGCAAGGTGAGAGTGAATTTAGCGGTCCTTGAGTAAGTCATAAACATATTTGAATCCCACAAAATAGGTCTATGAACTTTAAAATGCATTTTTGCTCAAAGTTGACTTTTTTGAATTATCACCAATTTGCCCAATTTGTACTAGTCATAACTTGCTCAATTTTTATCTTTTGTATATGATCTTAGACTTTTTAGAAAGCTCAAGATGTCCCCTAAAATCTCTATGTTGACCATGTTTGCATTTGGAGGATTTATCTTGATGTAACTTGCCTTGACAAAAAATGCCCTTTTATTGACTTTCAAAAAGACCTGTAAGGTATTTGCTCATATCTTTCCAATGATGCCTTTTTTAAACTTGAGGATAAAATAAAAGTTGTAGGTAATTTAATTTTCTTCCCAGTGAGCTTTGGTTGGGGCAAAATGGATGAAGCATGTGAAAGTTATGCTTGGTCAAAGTTCAGTGGACTTTTCCTAAGAAACCCTAATTTTGCACTTTTGAATTCTTGATGATTTGAGAGCATTCCATGAGGAATCATGATCAACCCTTGATCAATTGATGGATATTACTTCAAAATGTTGATGTTGACCAAAAATCTTGAAGTTTGACTGTATATTGACCACAATTGACTTTTTGACCAATATAATTGATTTTCAAACATTTGAGCCATTGACTGGGCAAACATTTGATGCAAGGCATGAAACTTGGCCTGGATATTCTTAAGGACATATTAGTAACCATGGAAAACACTTGAGGCCTTTGAAACCCAAACTTCTTTGTGAAAAGGGAAGCCCTGGTTAGAAGTCCATTGCTTAGGAGGAGAATTTGTCTGGTCAATTCTTAGTCAACCTTGAGCATTTGGGGACCTCTATGAGTATGTCTTGAATAAATGAGAGGGTAAATTTTGGGATACAACAGTTTCCCCTGTTCAATATTATTAAACCTGAAGAGTTAGATTGGCTTGTCTGCCATTCGTAATCTGAAGGTGGAAGATGATTGAACACTAGAGTGCCCAAAAATTTGCACTCGCCTGTGCATGAAGTAACATTGTTGGTTGATGATATCGGGAATGGGATTATAGATGCCATTTGGATAATATGACTGAGATTCGTCATAGATGGGCTTATAGATTCCATCCAAAGTAAATGTTGACTCCAAACTGGAAAAGTATTAGAATAAATGTACAGTTGATTTTATCTGATCCAGAAGAGGTCTCTGTATCTAACTTCGTATGAGAAGTATACTAGAATGAGTTTGTGTGCAATTGTATCTAGCAGATGTGTTAGGGGGTGTTAGAATGAATCTATGTTGTGATTGTATCTGGAGATTCATTGAGTATGAGTATCAGAATGAATCTATATCTTGATCGTATCTGAACTGAAAGATGTATTGAATGAGTATCATAATGACATTCGTATTTGGAGCGTATCTGAACTGTATATGAAAGATGTACTGAATGAATATCAAAATGACATCCATATCTGGAGCGTATATGAACCTTATCTGAAAGATGTACTGAATGAGTATCAGAATGACATCCGTATTTGGAGCGTATCTGAACTGTATTTGAAAGATGTACTAAATGAGTATCAGAATGACATTTGTATTTAGAGCATATCTGAACAGTATCTGAAAGATATACTGAATGAGTATCAGAATGACATCTGTATTTAGAGCGTATCTGAATCGTATCTAAAAGATGTACTAAATAAGTATCAGAATGACATTCGTATTTGGAGTGTATCTGAACTGTATCTGAAAGATGTACTGAATGAGTATCAGAATGACATTCGTATTTGGAGCGTATCTTAACTGTATCTGAAAGATGTACTGAATGAGTATCAGAATGACATTCATATTTGGAGCGTATCTGAACTGTATCTGAAAGATGTAGTGAATGAGTATCATAATGGCATCCATATCTGGAGCGCGTCTGAACCGTATCTGAAAGATGTACTGAATAATTATTAGAATGACATCCGTATTTGGAGTGTATCTGAATTGTATTTGAAAGATGATCTAGAATGAGTATCATAATGACATTCGTATCTGGAGCGTATCTGAACCGTATCTGGAAGATGATAAAATGTTGACAATCTCTATCCGTTCAGGAACTAACCTGAAAACTCAAAGTTAGTTTTATTCAATGGCATGATGTAGGTATTGTATTGCGTAATTATGCTCTCAAAATAAACGAGATTGTGCTATATGTGTTTTGTATGCATATGCTATGTTGTTTGTAAATGATGTACGAATGTGAAATGTTATTGAGGTGCATTTGTAAACTTGAGCATCTTTGTCTGGGGAAATAAATCCCTGACTGTTCCTGGGGATATAGAGTATGTGTATATTTGATCTTCTAGGAATTGTTTCCACTGGGGATCCCTGCTTTCTTGTTTGAGGAAACTCCATTGGGGAACATTGATTTTTGCTCTTTGCTTGAGGAAACTCTGTTGGATCGTGTTAATTCTTGCTTGGGGAGAAGAGTTTAAGAACATTGGATGTTCATTGTTCTACTGGGGAGTTTATACCCTTACTGGGAGTATAAGAGATGGATAACCTTCCGGCTCGCCTAGGAAGGATAAAGTTGACTGGCATCTGGTCTGGTTTCCAGGTTCCATAGCAACTCTCTGGGGATAGTGACGACTTCACTGGAGAGAGGGATTTGCTAGTGATTTGTGGTAGAAGCACTCAAGTTGGGGAGTGTCAGAATAAATCCATGCCTTGATTGTATTTGAAGATGTATTGAATGGGTATCATAATAATATCCATATTTGGATTGTATCTGAACCATATCTGAAAGATATACTGAATGAGTATCAGAATGACATATATATCTGGGTCGTATCTGAACTGTGTCTGGAAGAGAAATCTGGAATGAGTGCTGTAGCGATAAAAAATGTAGCGGGGTAAATCGGAGATCGAATTATTGATTAATTCGTCTCGCAAAAGCAAGAGTCGCCACCGCACTTTATTGTTTCCAAAGGAAAAGGGAAAAGAGCGAAATAAAACCCTAAATATGCAATGTAAATAATACTGAAAATACAAAGCGATTTTGAAAAGAGATCTTATGGTTCGGGGGTTGGTTATACAATGGGAAGGTACTAGCACCCAATGCATCTATAGTACTCTATAGGAACCTTTTGAAATATCTGTTTTATTTAAAATTGATCGCTTGATTGAAAATAAATCGTTTTGGCCGAAAAAGGGATACGGACGGGTTTTTGAAGATACGACGACCTAATGTCGAAGTTTTTGCTTAAAAGGTATAAATCTTGAAAAGGTTGAAATTTGAAGGAAAATTAACCTAAGTTTTTAATGAATGAGAGTATTCGCTCGATCGTTTTTTGAGGACATGAAGTCAACAAAAATTAGACAATTCCTTTTGGATTGGTGCAAACAGGATAATCAAGTACGATGAAATAATTGACAGAAAATGATACACAACAATTAAGTGTGAACATGCATTTTTTATATGATTTTTGTTTAATAGGCGAAAAGAAAAAGTTTAATTGGTTTTCACTTTTTTTACGCATTTTTAATGATAAAAGGTAATGAGAATTAATAGAAATGTTTTTTAGGTTTTATATGTTTTTATTTTTTTATGTCTTTTTTTTAGTATTAAATCAAAATGAGGGGAGTAAAATAAAAAATAAAATGTCTTTTAGTTTTCTCATTTTTACTTTCACATGTTTTTAGAGATATTAAATATTTGTCAAGTTAAATAAAACTTATAAGTCAAATATCTAATTAAAATAAAGAAGACTAAAGTTATTAAATAAACCTAAACTTAGATTAAATGAGATTTGGATAAAATATTAAAATTGTCTATTTAAAACCATATGTGTATTCCTAAAAAAACTAGTTAATCTAAATTAAATAAGTTAAGAAATGAATAGAATTAACTAAAGAGTCTATAAAGAAAAAGGGGTGGGAGTAGTAATTAGAAATGGGCTTTAGTTAAAGAGGAAATTGAGCATGGTTAAGGGAAATGGAACGGGTCGTGGAAAGATCCAGACCCAGGAAGAGAAAAACAAAGCTGGTGCGAAGAAAACCTAGGAACGCCGGTGCCATGGCCGCCGCTGGAGATTGGTCGATGAGATAGCGGTTGGAGGATGGTTCGACGGATGATGAAAGGTGGTGGAAATTGAGGAGCGGTTCGATGACAGAGATGATGGTGATTTCGCTGTTTATGAAGGAATCGAAGAGAGGCTTGCGCGGAGGAGATTTTGGAGGTCGCGGCGAGTTGCGGTCGAGAAGAGGTGTGGCTCGGTTACAGATGGTGTTTCTGGCGAAGATGAAGGTTTTTCGGCGAGGAAGGGTTCTCCGGTCAAGTGAGTTATTCTAACCTTTTCTGTTTATAGTTTTTTTTTGGATTTCTCAGTCTGTCAGTTTTTTTTGTCAGTGCATATTTAATGGCTTTATACTTCTTAGATCTGGGGTTTGGGTATGAACAAACAAAGGGCAGAGATTGAAACTATGTTTGGGCCGCCAAATGTGATAATTGAGATGTTAATTTTTCACTTCAAAATCAGTCCGAAAATCCACCTCTGTCCAATAACTATTCTTGTTTTCAAAAGAAGTATTAGGCTAATGAATGTTATTTGGGCCTGAGATTATGGTTGAAAAAATTGTTTTGGATTTGTGAATATTTGCTAATGCACTTCTCATTTTCTCTCTTTTGTTTTCATTGTTGCAATGGGCATGTATTGAAGACTTGACGAAGGAGGAAGCCGTAGTAAAGCTTGAAGGCATGGAAAAGTTGCTGCCATCTTGATTAGTTATGCATTAGTTGAATGAAGAATATGGTTGCAAGTGAAATATCAACAACGACCCTTCGTAGTTACTTAAAATGGTGTTGAGTTCATGACTTCTTTTTGTGAATTTTCTACTTCTCGCACATAATTCTTGATATTGAAAATACTTTTGTGTATGAAATAAAGGTTTTTTGTTTTTGATTTAAATCTGTAGTGATGTTGAAAGTTAAAGAGTGTGATTACAGAAGGAGATAATGATGGCGATGAATCGTAAAGTCCGAATGGGCAATTAAACAAAGGTTTGTGAATTTCTATATTATTTCAAGTTGGCTTAAAATTAACAGTGCTTATGTGATTGTGTATCGGTCTTGCAACATTTAATAAACTTGAAATTTATCGAACGAATTGTTGCCGGTGTTAAATAGGGATTGATGTATTGATGATTCGCAATGATATTAAATGGCCATTTTGCATGATTTCAGGAAATTAAAGAGAGTATTATTAAGTGAGACAAAGGCAACGCAACGGTATAAAGGTTTATGCGAAAAGCTGGAGAAACTCACATGGTCGGAGCTAGTCCGACGGTACGATTCCGGCGAAGTCAGGTAAGCTCCGAAGACTCCTCGCTCCTTGCTTTCTGCCACTAATTCTTCTCTTCTTCTCCGTCAAAAACTGGTTGGAAATATTGACTAAATGGTTTTGGTGTAGTATGCAGGTTATGGTTTGACAATATGCTTAGAAATGGTTTAGCAATATGCAGGTTGGTCTAGCAGTATGCTTGTTCCATGGTTTTGTGCTATGCAGGTTCCATGGTTTTGTGATTTGCAATATGCTATGCAAAATGGTTTAGCAGTAATGCAGGTTTTGTAATATGCCGGTTATGTGGTTTTTTGCCTTGTGTTACGGTTTTGAATGGTTTTGATTGTAGGTTCTGTTTTGGGAATGGTTATGGTTTGCAATGGACTATATTTTCTTAGTTTTGCAGTGATATGGTGTGTAGAGATATGCAAGCTTAGACTTCCTTTTGAAGGGATTTTTCTCATATAGCCGTTGCCTCTTTTATGGCTCAGGTTTGAGTATATTATTATATTTTCCTGATGCTGCATATATGCTGCTACATGTGATTTCATTCCCATTTCATGCTTAGGCCAGAACCTGCAAAATGGAACCTCCTCTCTCTCTCTCCCTCAAGTACAGAAATGATATATATATGATATCTTGTACTGCTGTCTGAAAAAGTAATAGGCTGGAATATGATGAAAAAAGGAAATATAGGTTGCTTGCATACATTGTTTTAAAACTGCACATGTTTGAAATTGCATATTGTTGGAATTGCATTTCTTTTGTCTTGCATTAGCCTATGTTATCTCCTATGTGGTGCAGGTTAACGTTGGCTTATGTTATGAACTTGCATATGCTGTTTCATATGTTTTATGCAGCTTTGACCAAAAATGAGTTTATGCATATTTGAAATATGCAGTGGGTTTTTTTTGATAAAAATGCAATTGATTTTGAAATGTGCTATTTTTTAATTATGCATTCATAAAAATTCCTCCCTTTTTGTGAACCGGGAGAAATCCCGCGATTTGCAAAAAGGGCAAACTGATTCCGGCCGTTTGCTTTTAATGATGAGCATTAAATTTATTTTCTGCATTTTAATTATTTATTCAATTCTGACTTTCTTCTAATTGTTTTTCGCAGGTAAAATTAAATGAGCAAACAAGAGCATTGGATGGAAGATTTAGAATTAGAATTTAGGAAAATAGTTTTATTTTACTTTAAGCATTTATGTAATGGTTATTATAAATACTTTGTACAATAGTATTTAAACAACAATTGTAATAAATAGAATAAAGTGAATAAAAATTCTATTATTTCCCAATTAATTCCTTTTCTTTCCAATTATTTATTTATTGTTTATAATTCCTTAAATCATATAATGATTGAAAATCAAATCCAATCATTTAAATTCAGAATGACAAACAAATAAATAAACATCATTGACTAATCAACAAATTCAACTATTTAATTCATTATTCGTAAAATTCCAAATTATAATAATTAAAAATAGAATTTTAATTATTTAATCTAAAATGATAAAGAATTAAATAATCATTGTTGACCAATTAATAAACTCATTCTCAAATGCTTATTTCATTATTCATAAGTCTTTAAATTATATAACAATTGAAAAATAGATTCCAATTATTTAAATTTAAGATAATAAATAATTAATAAACGTCATTTAAATCTTGATCAGTTAATAAATTTAGCGTTCAACAAATAAACAGCTCCCGACTCGAAAAAGTTATGAATTTTTAAACTGCTTTGAAAATTTGATAAAAATAGGTCAAAACTCTTGCAATGCGAATGATGCAGATGGAAGACGGTGTCTTAGGTCAAAATTTGGGGTACAACAGCTGCCCCTATTTAAGTTCCTTCTATCCGGAGATATGAAGATTAAAGTCTTCGTCTCGACGAGATTGAAGGTACTTAAATACATAATTACGCAAATTTTGTCCTAAGATGCCGTCATCATGCGGTGATATGAATGTAGTGTCGAATTCACCGAGAAAGATATTGTATGAAACAAGACAAACGTTGGAGGAATCGAACACCAACAAAACACAGAGACATGAATTATACGCTACTGGGGAAAACGAGCTATCGACTTCAAACGACAGACTCCTGACAGCGAATAAAATCGAGGAAAAACAACCTCTACCCTAACAAAGGGAGCATCTTGCATAGGCCATAACAGGTCATTGATCCAAAACGGTGAGTTCGCAACTCAAGGTCGACGGTAGACAGAGTATCAAATGGCTGATAAACGATCACTGAATTCTGGAGGTATAGATTCGTACCAGACCTCTCTGCGAGGTTTTCAGAGATATACTCATTAATGCTGAGGTAATAAGACTGTAGATACGAAGGTTGTTCAAATAAAGAAAATTGCCAGTTGTTGTTGTCCAGAGAAAATACCGGTAACATACAAGTTGCTCAAATAAAGAGGCTACCACTTGCTGTCGTCCGAAGAAAATACCGATAACAAACAAACTGCTCAAATAAAGAAGCTGCCGCTTGCTGTTTTCCGAAGAAAATACCGATAACATACAAGCTGCTCAAATAAAGAGGCTACTGCTTGTTGTCGCTCAGAAAAGAAAATACCGATAACATACAAGCTGCTCAAATAAAGAGGCTACCACTTGCTGTATTCCAAAGAAAAGTAATAACGTACTGGTAACTCATGAAGAGTTTGCTGCTTGTTGCTTTCAGAAAAAATAAAATGACGCACTAGTAGCTCATGAAGAACTGCTGCTCGGCGCTTCAGAAAAGATAAAATGACGCACTAGTAGCTCATGAAGAACTGCTGCTCGGCGCTTCAGAAAATAAATAACGCACTAGTAGCTCATGAAGAACTGCTGCTCGGCGCTTCAGAAAATAAATAACGCACTAGTAGCTCATGAAGAACTGCTGCTCGGCGCTTTCACAAAGTCATAACTGACGCACTAGTAGCTCATGAAGAACTGCTGCTCGGCGCTTTCAGAAAAATAAATGACGCCCTAGTAGCTCATGAAGAACTGCTGCTCGGCGCTTTCGAAAAAGATAAAATGACGCACTAGTAGCTCATGAAGAACTGCTGCTCGGCGCTTTCGAAAAAGATAAAATGACGCACTAGTAGCTCATGAAGAACTGCTGCTCGGCGCTTTCGAAAAGATAAAATGACGCACTAGTAGCTCATGAAGAACTGCTGCTCGGCGCTTTCGAAAAGATAAAATGACGCACTAGTAGCTCATGAAGAACTGCTGCTCGGCGCTTTCGAAAAAGTAATGTACAAGTTGCTCGTGAAGAGCTACCGCTTGTCGTTTTCCAACATAATTCAGAAGGAAACTGCGATGATATTGGCAGAGAATAAAATCTTCATCAAAGAGAACCCTGAATCAATCCTTCCCGAGGAGATCATATACTTTAACGTGCAAAATAAATGCACCAACCGTCTAGGTCGCAATTTCACTGGGGAAAATCACTGAGATAGCCTATGCAAGAGGCAACAACTTCATCCAGGAATAACCAGAGAGAAGACAGTCAAACAAGACTCCTCCCAATGAGAAAGTAAATCGATTGGGGAAATTATCCTATCCAGAAATGGACAAGGTAAGCTAAATCGAAAATCATCCACGAGGATTAGCTCAGTTGGGGAATTAGAAAGGAGGCACATTTTATGCTTAAGTTGGCACTCTATTTGGAAAGATCAAATGTGCTATTTGAAAAGACACAACCAAGGTGTACGAACTCAATGACATCAACAAATACAACTGTGCGTGCATGATGCAAGTGCGAATGAATGTCATGTGTATGCTGACAAAAACGACAGGGGAGATGGACAGAAGATGATAAGACATCACAGTACAACCCGGTACTCGGCTAATCTCAAAAGGAGGGGAACATCACTGGAGATAGAAGATAAAAGCCATCAAAGGAGCAAAGTCATCCTACAAAGCTCAAATCTCTTGGAGAGGAAGATATTTATCCCAAAGTCCAGTCTTCTATCGTCGACAATCCATTGAAAGGATAACAACACGAACAAAACTTCAGCTGGAAAAAGTCATGCTTAGCTGGAGATACTGGGAACACCGCCCTCTGATAAAGTGTGCGATACATAACACACATTCTGACAAGTCTAGACTGCCCCTGGGACCAATGTTGGATGCCCCAAATTTACTGCTGATGAGCTGCATGATGCACTACGATTCCTGCGAATAGCTTCACTTCTAAAATGCCCCAAGCTAAAAGGTTGATGAGGAGAAATCGTCTCAAGAGGGTTTACAAAAGACCTGGCATTCACCATGCTCTGGTGTCTTCAAACTCTTAGAGGAATTTATCAAATCTCGACGCGATTGCCCCGGATTGACTGTAGTCGGCACAACAAAGTCTTCGAATTTTTGCCCCAAATGAGCAAACAAATTGGGAAAAACATTAACTAGGAGAAGCAACCTGTCCATGCTTAAGGTCTTCAACTAACATGCCCCTGGATATGATTTTCTTGAATTGATTCTCCAATTACTCAACATAGTTTCAAGCCTTAAAAGGGTAAACTCATCACTGGTGTTTATGTGAGCTTCCTTGATATCAAGCGAATGTTTTGCAGTTAGAAAAAGTTTACAATGAGAATGAGAATTCTAATGCAATAGTTATATAAGTCTTGAAGATTTTGAAAGATATCGCACAAATTTCGCGAGTTAAAGAACCATTTATTTTTGTATAGGAAAAACATACGATACCAACATAACTATTTAGAACATTCATGGGAGTCAGGAACACTATCTCATTGAAGTATGTTTTCAGAATGACCTTGTTTCAATTAGGACTTTTGAAGGTTGTAATGTGGTCTGATTCATGGGTTTTTTAGAAAAGATTTTAAGGCTCAAAATATTTGGTGCCCACCCACTCTTCATGATGTTCTCCAACTCTATGTTCGGTTAATTCAACATGAGTGTTCGTCTCTCAAAGGATTTTGTGACGGTAACATCTTCCTTGCGAATTTTGAACACTCAATCAGACTAACTGAAAACTACCCTGCCCCAGGTTAAAATTCAAGGTTTTTTCGTATAGAAAAGAAACTTCTGCTTCAAAGGCTCAAAAGGGGTTAGCAAGGGATTATCTTCCTTATATCTCCGGTGTTTAGGAATTTGAAACAATGCCTGTACATCATCAACAAGATCTTATTCAAAAGCAAACAACCAAAGATTTTGTGTTCTTTAGATCATCATCCCCCCTTCAATCTCTGCCTAGGCAAGAGAATGGGCAACATGTTGGTATCATAATGCAAAAAGAAATTTAAAATTTGAAAGCAAATATGAGTGAAACGA